CAGATGCGCTGGCTGCCACCCTGCCTTCCCACCTCGTCTGCCGCCACCCCCCGAGTGTCCTTGGCGACACCGAGGAGCGCTAATCTCTGTTTACGCTGTGGCGTTATCTGATTCACGATCTGGAAATCGCCTCCCTACTACTGAGTTTGGGAAGGCTTTTCGCCCAGCTCCTGCAGTGGGCTGCGGCTCACGCCCTGTGCGAGTCCTTTCCCAGAGCTCTCCCGCTATTGCCACATCATCAGCCCCTCTGACATCCACCGTGAGGGGTCTGAGGGTGTGCTGGGCAGCAGATGGCAAAGGGTGCCTACAGCCTATCTGTACGCTGTTCATTTTTAATTTAAAATCCTCCACCTTTATTTGTAAGAATTTTTGTAGAAATTAATTTTTTTCCACACTTACTCGTTTAAAACATGAAATAAAATCACTATAGTTAAGGCTTGGGTTAAGTGTTGCACGTGGTCGAGCAAAAGTCTTTTGAGTGTGCTTTCTAAAGACACTTGAGAGGAGAGGTTGGGTTTGCTCTCTCTAGCACTGACTGGCACTTCTTAAATCCTTGGATATACTTGTCCTGCTCAAGGATTCCTGTTTCCCGTGAAAATTTTAAAGTATTTCTTTTAAATTTTGTATTTATAGTAGCTAGGTCTTTTTTCAGACCTATGTAAATCAGTCATCCATTCATTTCTACTCTTTCATATTCAGAAAACACTACATTTGTTTAAACAAAACCCAAACCTGCCGTTTTGTGCACGTGTTTTAGATGTCAGACTTGCTTGCATGTGCTCTGAACTGCAAACAGACAGAACTTTGTCCCGTGGCCAGTATTTTTATGAATCATATTTGCCCAGTGTTTGAATGTATGAGGCTTGGCTCCACGGAAGCAAAGAGGCAGTGGACTATCAGATTGCACTTGTCTTGGAGCCATGCTCCAGGTCACGTTTCTTTTCTGACTGCTGCTGTGGCTCTGTTGGATAGATGGCTACGCGTGATGTTGAGGAGATTGTAGTAAAAAAGACATTCTTTAAGTTTCAAAACTTGGATGAAAATAAGTACCCAAAAAAACCCAACAAAGTAACTTTTTAGGTACGTTTCAAAGTGTTTTGTTAACAGTGTGCTAATAACTTGTTAACTTGCCAGTCTTAGAAAAAACAGTAGTTACAAATTAATTTCCTGTCAATAGGAATGCCTTATGTTCACTTCTGTAATTGTAACATTGAATTATTTTCACATATTTAACGTAACTTGGTTGCCTTCTGCAAATTTAGGCATTGCTGTGCGAATGCTGAAGGTTTTGTCATCCAGCTGTAAATTTTTGGTTTTGAACTTATGGTGGATAAATTAGTAAATGAGAAAGTTCTTAGCAAAGGAATAAGGCTGAAAGATCAACACAGGCATCATTTGAATAGGAGTATTTTGCAACTGAGGCTTCAACACACTGTATTGGGCAGGTTTTTAAGAAGTTCCTCAAACATTAGTTTGAGAGTTGTACTTAATGTCAGTTTTTTGTTGATTAACTAGACCTTTAAAAGACTATTATATTTGCATTTTGTTTTGGCAGGTTTATTGGTTGCAGCTCAAGATGCTACAGAAGATGAGGAAGCTGTGGAAGATACTATAGTTGAAGATGAGGATGATGAAGCTGAAGTTGAAGAAGATGAGCCAACAGACTTGGTAATTTTAGATGAATGTTACTTCAAAAGTATGAATTAGACCAGAAATGCTTGAAACTGGATAAATTAAATAATTGAATTTACTTACATTGCTTTTTTCAGGGGGCTATTTCCATGTATCTGATTAAGTTTGTGTTCAGTTTGAAGTGTCAGAAGGATTTATCTTTTTTTTCTGAATCACCAGCTGAAACGCCACATGAGGACAACCTGATTTCTGACTATCAAAACTGTAGGCCACAAAAAAAAAAAAAAAAAAAAAACAAACAAACAACAAAAAAACCCAAACAAAAAACCAAACCACCAAGTGAGAGAACCACATTCTCATAGGAGCCCTCTGTAGTCCTTTTCTATCTGAAGCTGCACCTTAGTAAAGTGAGAAGAATGTTGAGGGATAGAACTACTTCATTCTGACTTTTTTGATAATGCTTTCTAAGGGTGACAGAGTTCTTAGTTTAGCCCAGAATGAATTCTAAAACCCTTGTTAAAAAAATACAGCTTAGTTTACAACAGAAACTCAAAAAATTACCCAGAAAATCAAAAACAGAAAAGTGAAATGTTTTACAGAGTTTTGTGATCTGCTTATAGCAGTGGCATGTTAGGCTTGCTAGGCCATGTGCTTAAAGTGGTACAAAATTTTTTCAAATCTCTGATGGACATTAGTAGGAGAAAACATGCATAACAAAAATGAAGATTTTGTAAAGTGTTACTTGATTCTATGAGATTTTACTGCTGTTATTAAGTTGGTGAGCTTATGGTTGACCAACTTTGCTAAGTTGTAGAAGGTATACTATGTCAACATTGACAGAATATTATTAAATAAACTTTTGGATGTAATTTCCTTTTAATTATTTTTGGCTCAGGTACAAAACATGGTGCTTTTTTGGCAATTTCTTTTATTTGTCACTCAAATAAAAGGGTTTTTCATTATGTCTTGGAATCAAGATGCAACATGCTCAGCTCTGGTTCCCTAGTTCATAGTATGTATATGACTGATCCAGTAGGATTTCCACTGCTTCAGGAGGTTGTTTAAGCACTGAAATCAAATGATCCAACTGAGTTCTCAGCACTTAGCTGAGACTGTTCAATACTGGGTCAGCCTTGTTTTCATTTGGTGGGGATGCTGATGATCCCCAAATGGAAAATAAGCTCTTAATGCTTGCATCTGTCAAAAAGTGATTCATCACAAGGTGAGCTTGAACGAGTCCATGGACTTACATAGTTCTAATAGCCTAATCATTTCCAGGCATACATAACATTTAACTAATTAAAGCTGAATAGAAAACTGCCATAAACCCTCCCTGTAGTGAAAATGACTAGTTTGATTTATGGCTGTCTTTACTTTGAAATGCTTGTTTTCTAACTGGAAATAGCTTAGATGTGAACACTTAACGTTTAGATTCTATTCTTTTCCTTCCACCCCCAAACAGAAGCATTACTGATGATTTTTGATTCCAAACCCTTCAATAGAGCTAAATATGTTCAGATTAGTCACTGTGTCAAATATAACAAGTAGAAAGATAAATGCTGAAAGGAGTGCTCAGCAAATCTAGAGGGAGAACAGACTATGGTGCTAATCCTGCAAGAGCAGGATTTGGTACAAGTACTTGCCACTGTTACTTGCTTTGACACATGGGATTCTCATGAACCAAGCATGGTTTTTGCTTCACTGTTCATTATAGGATTTTTCAAATAAGTCTCTTGTCTTAGACAGAAGAAAAAGAGGAAGAAGACTTGTCAGGAGAACCTAAAGCCTCACCCAGTGCTGATACAACCATCTTATTTGTGAAAGGCGAAGGTAAGAGTCCTCTGCTAATCCACCATTCTCTTTACTGTTGCTCAGACTGTTCTAGATACTCTCTGTTTAGAATTGGCTGTGTGTTGTGCATGAGATTTCTCATGGTTGAATTTTTTTTTGGTGTGTTTCAGACTTTCCAGCGAACAACATCGTAAAATTTCTGGTGGGCTTCACCAATAAGGGTACAGAAGATTTCATTGTCGAGTCTCTCGATGCTTCTTTCCGGTACCCTCAAGACTACCAGTTTTACATCCAGAACTTCACAGCTCTCTCTCTGAACACAGTAGTTCCACCACAGAGACAAGCCACATTTGAGTACTCCTTCATCCCTGCTGAGCCTATGGGTGGTCGTCCTTTCGGGCTGGTTATCAATCTCAACTACAGAGATGCCAGTGTAAGCCTGATACTCCAATTTATTTGAATCTTTCTAGTTCATCTGGAGGTGTCAGGAGGGAACTACTTAGTCAAGTACCTCTCCAGAGAGTGAATGCCTCTGTAGTATTTAAGCAAATCAGTGGGTACATAAGCACAGCAAGTGATTCCTACATGCACCTAAAGTTGTATCAGCAGTGGAAGCTGGGGTGTCTTAAAACTGTAGAGGACAACAGAACATTTGTGCTTTTATGTGTTGAGTGAAACTAGCATAACTTGCAACCTTAAGAAAGTCTTGTGCAGGAGTTGCTGCTTTCCAGATTTTCTCTGAGAACATGAAAAAAGGTAAACATTTGTGTATGTGTTGAAGAAATCAATTTAAAATGTCATGTGCAAACTTTGTTCTAGGGCAACGTTTTTCAAGATGCTGTCTTCAATCAAACTGTTACCATTATTGAAAAAGAAGATGGGCTGGATGGAGAAACGTAAGGAGACTGGAGATCCTGGTTTAGTTGGTGCACTGGTAGAACAGGTTATTGATGGTGCCATTGAAAATAGTTCTTATAGTGTCATTTTATTGAGTGTTAGGTCTGCTGTGTTTTGTGTATGATGTAGCAGCATTTGACAGACTGAAAATACAAATTTTTCCCAAAATTAAGATCTCTATTATTAGTGGGAATCTTCAGGGCTGGTACTGTGTCAGTGAGAAGTTGACAGATGTGCTTTAGCTCAGAGGGCTTAAGCCTGGTGTTTTTCAGCTGCATAGCAATTCAAAGCTGTTAAACTTCTGTTATGCTACTGTGCTTTTTCCTAAGAGTTAAAAATGCAGAGAGTCCATAGTATCAGGCTGTGGGTCCTGCTCTCAGGACTGGAATAACTTTCTTCTGGAACACTGCAGTATAATCTAAGTTTACATAAACTAAAAAATGTATTTGGAGTACCAGATAGCACAGCAAAGAATGACTGAGTTCCTCTAAACCCTGTCTGTAGTAGGTATTTTCCAGGAGTGATTTTTTTTTAGACTTGGGTAGATCTGACACACCAAATCTTCCAAGGCTATGCTGTGCTAAAATGCTATTAAATATTGTAGCACTGGAATGGAATTTTAAGTGAAGCTGTGAGTTAGAAAAGTTCATCTTCAGAAATACTTGTAGACAATGCTGAATATGTGAACTTTCCTGCCACAGATAGAAATTGCCTGTTGAGCAAGCTTTCTTTTAGAAAAGGTCATCCAAAATAAATCTCTGTTGCATTAATTTGTATTTCTCAAGTACAATGGTATAAGTGAAAGAACAGTTGGTCTCATGAAAATGTGTGATGCTCTGAAAAAGGAGCTCTCCAAACAATTCAGATACTAGAATCAGTTTGTGTGAATGTCCTGTGAACAGATAAATTGCCCTATAACAGGTATTGAAATTAAGTATCTTCTTTAGTTTAACTCCATAATTTCCTTTATCGTAAATGAGAGTTCACATGTTCAGCTTGGAATAAGTTCTTTACCTGTAAATTCCTTAATCCTCAAACCAGTTTTAGCTATAACTTAGGTTTACCTCTTGCTGAGTGTCAACAGATACTTCAGATAAAATTCTTGAAAACAAACCAGAATGCACAGATTAAGAAAATTGATTTTGTAGGTAGAATTTTAACTGTGGAACAGTTAAGATAAGAGAGCAAGATAAGCAAAGTCTTTCAAAGCTCTGTTGCAAATTAATAGTGTCCTAGTAGTACTTGCTTTGCAATAGCATGCTAAAAGCATATAAGACACTTCTAAGGGTTTTATAAGTGATTAAAGCTGTCACAGACCGAAATAGTGCCTGTGACCCAATATCTTCACACTTTATGATCGTGTGAAAGAATTCTTGAAATTAGTAAATTTTGGTATTTATTATAACATTTTCTTAATTTATACAGCATTTTTCAAACATTCTGTTGTTCAGAATTATACTTACAATTACAGTTTCTAAAATCCAAATCAGAATAATTGCATTATAGTTGTTAGAATGTTAGTTTGATTCCTTGGGTATTTTCCCCTCTTATCCCCCTACAGAAGTTCTTGAGAAAGTTTCGGTGGATGTGCAGCCAAAGTTAGGCTTAATTTCTATGCCTCTTCATAAGCTGTCTTCAAAACTTGACATTTTTAGTTAATGCATTGTTTCTTAAACTTTTTTAAAGGATCTTCATGTACATGTTCCTTGCTGGACTTGGTCTGCTGGTCATAGTTGGCCTACATCAGTTGCTAGAGTCTAGGAAGGTGGGTAGCATGTTTGTCTGTGTACTTGTTAATACAAAACCTTTCTGATGTGAAAAGAAAGCAGTTCAGTGGTTGCTTCTGGCATATGATGGTAAAGGTGCAAGATTTATTTTTAGAACACTAGAGATTATTGGGGAAACTAGAGTGTTCTTAAAAAATGTTCCTAATGAAAGATACTTTGGTTGCTGAGCCTGGTGCCCTTTGGATCTGCCCTTTGGCTCCACACTGAAGTGGTGGAATTGGAATACCTTGTAATCACTGGGTGTATGTGTCTACTGATCCAATACTTACTTTCCCCATGCTCTCTACTTCTGCCTATTAGTCTAATCCAGGTCAAACTTCAGGGGAAAACAGCTGAAGTCCTTTATTTAGTCTTAGCAAAGCTTTGCCATAATATTGATTATTTTGCAAGGTCAGATCACGTATGACGATATTGTGCTAATCTGAGAAAGCAAAATAAAACTTGCTATCACAAAGTTTGACTGATCATCAACAAAAGGTGTAATGAATTTGCCCAGGTGTGCATGAAGTCTTGGTGCCTTTATGTGGAATAAATGTTGTAAGGTGTTAGAAGTGGTAATACAAAGCTTAGGGGAATAAATTGCTAATGGGAAAGATAGCTCTGTGTATTGACTAGCCTTAAGTTTGTACCTTAGTGAAATAATTGTAATTCACTAAATATCGCTTTGTTAGTAATTTCTAATACTTGTGCTATCCAAGTCTTACTTAAAAGAAAAATCTTTCTTATTTCTTGAATTTTCAGAGGAAAAGACCGGTACAGAAAGTAGAGATGGGAACATCAAATCAGAACGATGTTGATATGAGCTGGATTCCTCAAGAAACTTTAAATCAAATAAGTAAGTAGTCTGCCTTTCATGGACTAGACCATAACAAACTTAACTTTACTATTAAATTGTAAGTAAGTAGCTGATACCAATTTCTTAGAACAGCATGTATTTTCTAGGGAATAACAAATTGTCTTAAGGATGAGATTATTGCTTTAGCAGCCCATTCCTTGTAGAACAAACTTTATTGGTTGATAAGATAATGACTACTGGTGACTTTTATGATTTGTTCTGTAGAGTATTTTTCAACAGTGTAAGATCTCTACCCAAAACCTGGATTGCAAAGATGGTTTAAATAGGAGAAAGTAGATGTCATCTCAGAGTTTCTGTAAGTTGTTTGGAAGTTTACCTATAGACCAAAGTCTTAAATAAGCATTAGAAGTGTGTTTTAACTAAAGCCACATACCTGCTTGTTATTGATGTTCTTCACAAGTCCAAAAGTTCTACTTAATACCTGAAATACCAACACTAAACCCAATATCTGATTTCTTTAGACTATGGATATTTTCTAACTTCTCTTACTCTTTCTTCTCTTTTGCTTTCCCATGGCTTCAGTGCAAAGTAGAAGAGGTGAGGCAGACTCTTTGTGAGCTGAAAAGTGCTTAGTGTGTTGTCCATGTAATAATTAGGCATGGATAGAAGTACAACTTCCTGCATGCTGTGACTGGTGATGTAGCATGAGCAGTGAAAGATGCAGAACAGATGCATGCAATGGCATACATTTTATATACTTCTAAATTTGTTTTCATGTATTTTGTGGAGATATTTCTGGTTATATTGTAGGAACATAGTTTCAGTAGAATATTGGTGAAGTATTGTCTTCTCTCACAGTTCCCAGAATCCTTTTTCTAAAAGGCAGATGTTTATCTTGCCTTCCCTGCTCACCTCGGTGTATCAGGCTGATAAACTCCTGCCATCAGCAGCAATCACTGCTGTGAGGTGGGAAAGCCTCAGTGAAGTGCGTCTTACATGAGATGCAGAGTTCAAAAACCCTTTGCAGGAGCTACCCTTACTAGGTAGGGACTGCTTTTTTGATCAAATAAGCATATTCTGAGCTTCATTTGGTGCAGAAGGGCTAGGGGCCTTAGCTGTGGTATGAAGTTGTGCCAGGAGTTAATGACTTTGGGCTTTTTAAATTCCTTTACCCTTTTTAAAAGTACTTGCACCACATAGGTTTAAAGACTAGTGCTTTAATTGTGAAGATGAAAGCTTTCTTGTACACTTTCTTCTGTTAGACACTAGAATAGTATAAAACACAGACACAGGAATTTGGAAAGCCTCCCTCTAGCAAGAAAAACTGAAGGTCTAAATACTATTTTTTGCTAAAGAGCACGCTGACTTAAAAAGGTTCAAATTCTGGTCATGTTTGGGCCCCACCACCATCCTTTTCTTCAGCCAAATAAATATTCATATCCGAACACTTGAAGTTTAGGAAAAAATGAATGGTTAAGTTGTTCTCAATTGTGGTTTTCTCAGCTCCAGGTTAGTTTCAGTTAGAACTCTACACTAGAGTTCTTTAAAATAATGACCTTCAAGATCTCAGATATTCTTGACTTTTTTTATTATTGACACTTCATACTGTACTGATTGGCCTGTAAGGGCATGATTGCTGCTCCTTAGTTAGTGTTTGCACAAACTCTAACCAGGGAGGCTATTGGAGATTGTTCTGTTTGAGAAAATTAGTCACCACTTAGCAATCACTTCAGCATTTCATGTAGAGTATTGAAGGTTATTGAAAGTATTCTCTGCAGTAATCATAGAACCATAGAATGGTTTGGTTGGGAAGGGGCCTTAAAGGTCATCCAGTCAAATGTGAATGCTTCCTGGAAAAGTGCAGTTTTCCACAACAGTTTTCTTCTGCTGTTAGTTGTCTGAATGTGGAAATAGTACATGCAAGACACAGCTGTCTGAAGAAGAGTCAATCTCACATTCTTCAGCCATGTAAACTCAAGGCAGTGGCCATCAAAATAATTCATTTAACTTTCTAAAAGTGTAATTACGGAACATGAAAATTTTCTAAGCAGCAAAGCCTGGAGTTTCACATAGGGATGACAAGGTTTCTTTTTGGTTAGGGTTTTTTTGCATTTTAGTAACTGACAAATAAGACAAACCTTACCCTGTTGTTGCATGTTAGAGTATTTTTTTGTTACCTTCTATTTATGGTGCTGGTAGTTAAAAAGCCTTAACAAGTTGTTTGAACTGGCTTCTCTGTGGCGATGCATTGCACTAGAAGGGCAGCTTGTCTTGTGTTTGGGAGGAGAAAAATACATGCTCATGTAACAATTGCAATTGATGCAATTCTTTTTTCTTTCTTTTTCTTTTTTAATCTAGATAAAGCTTCACCAAGGAGGTTGCCCTACAAGAGGGCACAGAAGAGACCAGTGGGCTCTGATGAGTAATGTTAAATAGTGCAACAGTTGAACCTTTACTAATTCTGCCTGTTTGGTTTTTTTGGATTGGAGTAGTGCAGAGAACCCATACCACCATAAGGAAAATACTGCTAAACATTTGGACTGAACAGATTAACTGAATGGTGTTAATATTACTGAAAATGCACTTCTCTTTTAATTTTGTTTTTTAAATTGTTGGGGGTCGGGGGAGGTAGCCATTAAGAGTTGTGCCTGCGTGTGTAAGCGGTTGGTCTTAACAGAAACGTGTTACCTGAAATGTGCCTTTAGAGTTCTTTGTAATGCTGGCTTGCCATCTGTACATTGTCATTGAAGGATTTCTCTCCTCTCCCTAATCTGAATGTTTGGTGACTTTAATCTGTCTTGATTGTATCATACCTGTATCAGAACCTGAATGCAATTGTTCTTACTCAGCTATTCTTTACAAGGTGCGCACACTGAAGTTCGTGTGTCCTGTCTCAGTGACCAGGCACTGATCATCTCAACTTCTGCATTAGTCTTCATTCTAAAGGCACAATTGGGTATAGCTGCTTGTAGTGGTAGATGTTTTGCTGCTGTTTTGATCTGGGCATGCAGTGACCTAAAAATCTGAATTTAGCTGCATAGATGTTAGGAAGACTCTTGCACAGCAGCAGAACTTGTGAAGCATGGAATTTGTGTGCTGAATTGGTATTACTACATAAATTTCTTTTTTATACCCAATTTGTTAAATGGTTAGTTATTGAATTGTGCCAGCATCTTAGGTATTCAGATTATAGTGATAGTTCTGCAATGTTTACTCAAGAAACTGTTGAATAAGCCAGAACAACTTTTCAGTGAGTTCTTGGTTCTCTCTCTTAAGAACTAGAATGTCATATGTATCAAAAGGCCAATTTATTTTTTTTAAAGCTTTACAAGGATTTGCTGTACACACTTGAAACTGAATTTGAAAAACAGTTGGATTCAAATAATTATTTTTATTGGCAAGCTATTTAATTCACCATTTACAGTTTTTAAATCTGAGACATCTTTACACTGGTCAGTACATTGGTCTGAGGTTTTTTCACCTACTGTTTCTTAACTAGTAATACAGATGTGTTTTCATCACTAGCTGCCTGTTGGTTCAGTAGTCAAGCAGAAAAGCTGTGTGCAAAATCAAAGCAAGATTTCCTTTTGTGGCTTACATGATTACCAGGTACTGAGGTATTGATCCACATCCACTGTGTCCAGGAATTGACTGATAGGGAAAAGAGCCAGTTTGCAGAACATCACTTTGCTTGGGCAAGGCTTGGACTGTTTGCATCTCCGCTGCCTCTCTTCCTATGTCTGAATGTTATCTGAAGGCTTGTTGAGTTCAGGAAGAGGCATAGATTTGAGGCCTCTGTTGTCTTCTTTTCCTCCCTTTTCTCATCCCCACCTGTGAAAATGCCCTTTTAGTTCCACACTTGGTCTTCAGGGACTGAACTTCTGAGCCAGTGAATGCTGAGTGATCCTTCCAAATCCCCTGTGTGTTTGAAGCAGCTAGGCTCTGAATCTACCTGTGCTGGTACTATTTTGTTACACACCTTGCCAGAATGAACTGTGTTATTGACTCATACTGCTATGGAGAAGATGCTTTGTTCAACTTCATGAAAATACAGCTAGTCCGGGCAAAATATTCTTTGCAGTTAAGGTTGCTTAAATTGTCATTCAGATCATTTAGGAAACAGTTGAATGCTGCCCTCATAAGGAGTATCTCCACTCAAATTGTGTGGAACAGCTTTATTTGACTTTATTGATATAATCTGACTGGTTCTGTGGTAGATTTGCAGGCTTGTATTCCAGCTTGCATTGATTCAACAGTGTTTATGGATTAAATGCTTCCTGTGCTAAAGCCTCATAGTGATTGCAGCACCTGATGCACTGAACTTGGAGGTTCCCTCTCTTGGATTGTCTCTGACCTGGCATCAAGAGGGGCTTTTTTCACCTTCTTGTAATAGGTCATCTTGAACTGTATATTCTAATTCTTCCTGAGATTTAAAGGTACTCTTTGAGGGGGTGGTGATGATACAGTGGTATGCCAGAAAAAAAGACAAAGGATCAGAACAGATGATGTTAATTTGTAATGTCCTAGTTTTATTCCTACAAGTAAGAAGTATTTGAAGGCTGAGCTCTCGTCTCTGTAGTCAGTGGCTGACTTCCAAATGCTTAAGCATGAAAGAAGCTAGAAGGCAGCTTGCACTGGAACCAGCAGTGGGAAAGTCCAGGTGTACCAAGGCTGTTTTTCTCATGGTACAACTTGGCATTCACTGTAGATGGTTCATAGTGACTTTCTTAGCCAGAAGCAGTTCATAAGAGCAGGGCCCAGTAGATCACTGCTGCTCATGATGAATGTCATAACATTTTTTTAATTACTCGTTTCTCATGAATTTGCTGTAGTTGAAATTTAGCAGTAACATTCCAGCATGCAGTGTGGTAACTGAACTTTGGCATCTCTAGTATTATTTCTAGTGAAAAAGCCAGTCTATTGCACTCAGCTTTCTTAAATTGGGGACATAGAGTTGTTGCTTTATCCTATTGGTTATAAACTTCTTATTTTGGTACTTGAATTTTATACTCTATTTTTAAACAGGTATAGCTTAGCATCACAGGTATGTTGCTGGATATAATTATTATTCTCAGCTGAGTAGGGTGTAGTTTTGCTACTTAAAGATGAGACAGCAGCAATTTTGCCTTTCTATGCCACCCATTTCCATTTGGCAGCACAAGCGTCTGTATAATCCAGCATTGTTACCAGTTCTCAGCCAGCTTGCTACACTGCCACACAGCTGCTCCTGGAGGGTGCTGGGAACAGTGACAACTGTGAAAGAAGCTGTGGGCTAGGGTTTCTGTATTTGTAAAAGATCCTAAAATGGTTTTAGAGAGCAGATGAACTATGGGCTTAGAGTGAAGGACCTCTGTGAATTCCTTTCTCACAGCTCCTTAACTTACTCAAAAAATTGTGAAGACCTAACAATTCTACGCTTGGGGTAGGAAAAGCAGCTTTAGAGTTCACATCTACAGAGGCAGCAAAGCATTAATTCAGGCTACCCTTGAACTGCATGTGACACCTGTAGCCCTCTGTTTGCTGTCTGCTTTCTGGCAGCAGTTCATTTTTTCCCCAGTATCCTTCAGTCAGAGAAAGAAGAGTGGCTGCTCTCAAGGATTGAAGTTCATTCTCCATGTACAAAATTATTAAGGTGTAGGCTGTGGAGCTGGATGGAACAGAGTGGAGGTGGCAGTGCTTCTGCTTGTGCTAAAACATTTATTCTGAATGTCTTCCTTAGCTTGGGTAAGGTGTAATCAAAAGTATCATTTACTGGTTATTCCTGGAATGCATGGTGCTAAACAAAATGTTGCAGGTGAGAGCTCTGAATCCATTCAAATGCTGAAGTGGGCTGGTTGTGCTGTTTCTCAGTGTTCTTGATGTACTGAGCAGTAGAGAGTCTGTTCTCTTTTCTTCTCCAAAGGAAGGACAGTACCTACCTCATAGGAGTGACATAAGGGCTGTTTCAAGAGTGTTTTGAAGTTATTTGGCACTTGCACAATACACTTCCATGGAGATAGTGAGACACAGCACTAGTGTAAATGGTTGGCAGCTGTACCCATAGATCCATACTGTACTAATTTAATCCCCTCACTGACCAGATTTTAGCAGCTTTACACTTTGACCATTTCTAAAATACGCAGAGGAGTTGCAGTTAACATACAGAGGAGAGCAAAGCCAGAAAGATTTCTTAGATTCTGCAAACATGTATAGGTGGGCTAAGTAACATTGTTCTGATATTTTTCCATTTATCTCCAAATTTTCCCAGGGATTTTTTCTAATCAGTTGATACAGATGATTGTTTATGTAGCTACAATCAACAGTCAACTTAAGAATGACTGATTGTTTTGGATTATTAAGTTCAGGTGATGTACTGCAACTGAAGTGTTAAATTATCATTTAATTTCTTACCTGCTGACTTGCATTTATAAGTGAGATCAGATCTCTTGAAAACAGCTGCAGGTTTTTTGTAAAGTATACTTGATTTTTTTTTCCTTAGCATTGTGTAGCTTTTTTTTTTTTAATAAAGCATGAGTATGGCACCAAAAAAAGGCCTTTTCCTTGATAAGCAATCGGTAGTAGGAAATATGCAAAGTGTGAAAACATGCCATTCTTAAAAATCTGCCTTTCTACCTGTGTAATTGGAATGGAAATAATATTGAGCAAGTTTCTGTGATGTTTTGGACAATGGACTAATAACTAAGATTAGAATTCTCTTAAGGGAGGGCCCTGGGGAAATGTTCAGTAAATTCCTGAATTCTGATGGTTTAAAAGTGAGCCATAGTGCCCTACATTTCTAGAAGGAATAACCTCATGTTAAACCATAGGCAGCATAAAAAGGATCTGTTAAGATGCTTAAAGGTTGCTGAAGCACAAGGACAAATCCTTCCTGTTTTTATGTGCATGCTGTTGTGTGACCAAGCAAATGCTCACATTCCATGCAGTTACTCTGAAAATAGCAGTTCCAGCAGGTGTTCTGCATCCAAACAGAAGACAGTAAGGCTTGTTGGGGAAAAAAGCCAACAAAAAACAAGACAAGGTTTAAGAATAAAGAATGCTGGGACCCCTGTATTTGTGAGCTATATCTGTGGGTAAAAGAGGGAAAAACTAGAAGCAGATATGTTGATGTATTTTTAGGTCCTGGAACACATAAAAATTACTAGAATTTGAAGCCTGCCTCATCTTTCACTGAAAAGATCACGATAGATAGATTGCAATAGCTGGCTCAGAAAGAACAGATACCAAGACCAAGATGAGGTCTTAAATATCTGTCTGGCTGTCTTTTCTGTCCCCTTGTGTAAATAGTCTTGGCTATAAATCTGTGTTAACCACGATGCAGCAAAATTGCAGCATTACAACATTGCAGTCCCTTAGCTGGTAAGGCAAAGCTGAATTTTAACCGGCCTTTCCTCATCATTATCAATCTGTTCAGCCTGCATGGAAATCACACCTGTTTTCCCTGTGCCACCTAAGTTCACATAATGAATCTGTCACTTGAGAGCTCTCTATCACACAGCAAAGAGAACACTTGGAGTTGATGCACTTGGTCTCACAATGGTCTGAGCAGATTTTCAAGAGGACTCCACAGTCAATGTTCTAGTAAAGGAGGTTCAGTCCTGCCCTGCTGGGCCTGGATGGAGCTACACCGTGTATTTTCCATACAGATGAGCCTGTAGTGGTGGAGCATTAACCCTGGAGGTAAAATACAGTACTAGGTTCACTAGATGGAAATTATTACAGCCAGCAATTCCCAGATCTGCCAGCTGAGGGATCTCCCAAGCCGGTGACAGCTGCTGCTCATAGCAGACAAGCACAAAGAGAGCTTTAGCCCCTTCTGAAAGAGCAGGATCTAAATGGAGCAGTCACAGCAACTGTGTCTGGCCTTTCTAAATCATTCCATGCTTTATCTTGGCCACTGAAGTAAGTTTGGGCACTGCACTTTTTTGCGCTGTTCAGAAAATAACAGACAAATGTGAAGCTTGAACTCAGATAAGCTGTAAATGCTGGTGTTGTATTTACTTCCAAAAAAATTCAGGGCTGTGGCCACCTACAGGGTCAGCTGAAGGTTTGCAGAGGTGGAACTTATAGTGACACACTGCCTCTGCCACCTGGTGTTTGGCCCCACAGCCAGTTTTTCTTAGAAGTTAAATGAAATTGGATCTTTTAGCCCCATGTGTACCTTGACCACATGCAGACACAGAGAGGTTCCTATTCAGCTTTTCCATGCAGGCTGAATCAAAGAGTCAGACTGTTCAGAACACTGAAGGAACTCCCCTGGCAGAGCCTGGATCCACAGCCCTGCAGAAGCAAGCAGGGGACAGGACCTTGCCCTAAGAGGGGATTTGATCCAGTATCAGCTGGCAAGTTTTCCACCCATAAGTTTTCAAGAGTAAAAGAAAGAAGGAACACCCCGTTTTCTTTTAGAGGAGTCCACAGAGCAAGGAGGGCAGTTAAAATGCCCTGTTGCAGGTTTCCATTGGAAAGGAAAAGCTGGAATTTAAATGGCATCTGATGACTGTTGAGCACAGTATGGCAAACATAGCTACCAAAATAACAGGTTATATTTAGAAGCAAGTTCAAATACCCTAAAACATTTTATTTGGAAGTATGTCATATTTTCCTCAGAGCCTGTATTTAAGGCTCAGTTAATGCTTGGTTGTTTGTAATAGTGGTTCATTCATAGAGCATGGAATTACTTCTCACAGCTGGAAATGACATTTTGCCCAACTAATCCTAACTTGTTGCTGCTATAAAGCCAATTGGAAACCAGGAAGCACATCCTGCTGTTAGGCACCACAGCAAAGAAAAAAACTGAAGAAATATTTTAGAAATACACTGCTCAGGGACCATCTCCTTTCCACCACCTTTTTGCCTGGCAGATTGCAGTTCTGCAGCATTCCATTACCACCACTCCAGCTAAAGGTACACCAAGGGTGAAATACAAGGCACCAGTCATAGTCATGCAGCCAGAACAATCACTTTGTGCTCATGCAGAGCAAGACATTCCCTCAAGGTCCTCCTGAGGCTGAACTCCTGCTCCCATCTCGCTGGGTGTCATTTACTGTTCCTTTAGCGAGCTGCAGCACCCCTTGTGGTTACTCCTTTCCTTTCACTGGCAGTCCCCAGGGACCATCACCCTGTCATTCCCATTCTGCCGAATTTATGGAATTGAATGGAGCCAGATGTCACTGATGCAGTGCAGTGGGAATAAGTGCAGGCCACCAAGGACCTGCTGACATAGTGCAAAGCATCCCTCAGCTGCAGTTCAGTAAAACACTGCCTGAAGGAACTGGTGGAGAAGCTGCTATCACTATTTTTCAAATTAAGTACCTTAATTTTTAAGTAGGTGTTCTGCAGCTGCTAAAGAGAATCTTAAGGTTCAGAAAAAGTTAAAAACTGTCAAAGATGTGCATTCATAAAAAGTAATAACCAAATGTATTAAAGGCAGCATGTGGCTCTGCATCCTGTTCCAAAATAGATTACCACAGGGTGCCCAGGTTGCTCACTTGTCCAGATCCCTCCCTTTCCATCACTTACAGCCCCAGCTCATGTTCTGGTGAGTTCTGGGTCTTGAGTAGCTGTGCTAGGCACCCTCTGTGGTTTAAACTCCAAGATGCTGCCAGAGTGATATAGACACAAGATCAAAGGTCAGGCTCACTGTGTTGTGGTGCAGACTTACACTGACTGCTGTGTGAATGCAGACAGGTTGATACTTTGATTTTCTCTGACTGTGGAATATTGTGGACCTGGTGCACGTAGCCTTGGAGCCGGTAAAGCGTCCGTGATACAGGCATCTTGACGGCAGCAGATTAAATGGTGTTAAATGTCCTGCCACCAAAAAGGGACTTTTCTGGCAAAGTGTGCAAATCTGGGAGTGCTGGATCCCATTCGGCAGCAGTGCATGCAGCAGGACATGGGAGGTGCATGTGCTGCCCCCTCCCCAGCTGCTGCCCAGGAGCCCCATGCATCGAGCAGGGCTGGGCTTTGGTATAACTAAACAGCAATGACAAAGGTTACAGTCTCTGTTTACAGCCAGGTTTTGCCCTTCCCAAGCACAGGTCATACAGTAAAGCTTGAGTTGCAAAAACTTGGGAGGAATATTGGTCAAAGCAAGCCTGCATCTCACAGCTAGCACTGCCATCACCCCAAATAAAGTAGAAATACTTATTTTGGGTGCAGATTGCTTGGAAGTCAGGTGCTGCTCATTGCAAACAACAAACCTAGGCTGTCATTCTCTGCAGGATCAGGTAACAGGAGATGGGAGGAAAGGCCAACACACCAATTGCTTTTGTTACCCAAGTACAGCTCCATGTCTGAGGGCAGGGGCCCATGGACCTGTGTGCACACGTTCACAGGAGTGTTTATTTCTGCCATTCCTCCTACCCCAGTGCTCGGGGCAGGCCCTGTCCTGGAGCCACCGACCCCTCTGGCTGACATTCTGTCCCAACCTTGGCACATTTTCACGAGCAGCAGGGCCGTGCTCCGTGTGTGGTTACAGCTAAAAATGACTGACAGAAAGTCAGCCCGTAGCGGCGCTGGCCTCCTCTACAGTAACCTCTGCCTCCGAGATTGTGAAAACAGATCAGCCCTTTGGTGATGAAAAGCCTTTTCTCCAGCAGATTTCTCTTATTTACAGCCTCCCATTAACTGATGTTCGTAAACTGCTTCACAACCCTCTGCTGAAAGGCTCTAGAGAAGTTCAAGTGCTTTCACAACAGCGTATTCCAAACACCATCGCCCAGAGTTTCCTCATACACTCCTGGCAGTTTTCCCTGCCAAACAAGAGACAGATCTGGCACAGGAGAAATAAACAAGCACAGCAAAGGAGAAAGCTATTTTCAGTTCCTACTAGTTGGGAGGATTGCTACAACATTTTCTACTGCATTACGCAGTGAGGTTGGGTGAGTCAGAGAAGTCTTCCCATTTTACTACTGTTTAATATATGAAAAACTCCTGCTTCCTTTTTGTGAGGATTTTTTTTTTAGCATTCTGAGAGGGATCTTGAAAAATGAAAGTAGGCAATACTAGAATTTTTGAAAAGCCTGAAGAATGCTTCTCAACTCCATTTAGTTTCACTTCTTCAGGCTGATTTCAGACACATCTTGAAATGAAGGCATCAGAGCCCCTTACCTGGCCACACTCTGGAGGTTTACATCTCCCCAGAGAGCTCAGTCAAGCCCATTAACACTGGCACATGTGTGCAGGTTACACATCACTTACCCGGGGTGACACTTGCACACAACAGCAAGGTAGATGCTCCTGTGTCTTTTGGGATCCATTCTGTGCAGTGACAGCACAGAAGGCAGCAGTCTGTGTCTTCACTGCTGCCTTTGAGCAGGCCAGCTGCCTCCCCACCCTTTTTCTCCCAGGTACTAATTGACTCCTTTTTTAAAAAAAGATACTTCTGGAAAAACGGCCTCATAAACATCTTTTTACAATACAGAACTTGATGTTGCTCACAAACAACTCTCCCCTTGCCCACAGCCCAACTCTCATCCCTCCCCTTGTTTTAAATAGGCCTCCCTGCCCAGGTGAAGCCACTGATGAGGCCTGGCAGCCCACAGGGATGGTGCTCTTGCAGCTGGTGACAAATCCTAAAAACACCAAATAATTCTGTGCCAGAGCACTCCTCCCTGTGCTATTCTCCCCCTGCCCCTTCCCTTCCCCTCCTGTCCTCTGATATTTCCTGAGAAATACATGCAGACCACTGGACAAGTGAGTCCCTAACTTGTCACAGGGCCAAGGACACACACCATCTGTGTGTGACACCTATTCATCCTGTGGGAGAAACACCTTGGGCTTACTTGGCATAAATCATCCTTTCAGGACTGGTGAGAAAAGTTTTAATCACCTAAAAATGCATTCCCTGAAACTGCATTGCAAAAACACAACCCTCAGCTGAGGGGACAAGGAAGGACACCATGGAGGCTGTGTTGAGAAAGGCCAAGAGGTCTGAATTTGCTGAGTGCAAGACCCTGCACCTTCAGGAGATGCTTTAGGCTCTGGCAGGGGCTCCATGAACAAGCCACTATTCCTGTTAATGTTTTTACTTCAAAACCAGAGGAAGAGACTGACCATACATACTCTCAGCAGAGCTGTTAGCTCAGAAACCCCAGCTGTGCTCTACCTCCTGTCATTTTAGGGTTGTTTCCAGTTTTTCTAACCCTGTGATCCAGCGTGGCACTAATTGCCCAAGACTAGGGAAATCCTCTGATCCGCCAGCAAATCTGCAGGTACTGGCATCACCAGTTTCCAGACAGGGACAACAGTTTGCTCCTGGATGTTGGTTTCCCCCATTCCCTGAGTGTGCACATGAGGACATGGGCAAGGAGGGCAGCTCCAGTGTGGGGCTGGTGGCCAAAGCCAAGAACTCCAGAGCACAGCCAGGACTCCAGGGATCGCTGTAGTGACTGGGGAGAGCATACACAGCCAGGTGACCCATCACGTCCCCAGCTCAGACACCAGCCAAGCTAGGGTGCAGATGTGTATGCAGATCAAGCCATCCCACTAGCAGGTTAGACCTTTCCTTGTACACACTCTTCCCCCTTCCCAACCTCACACCATTTTTCATGGAACATTCAGCTCTTCCCTGACATGGAGGAGGTTTTCAAAATCTAAGTAAATTCCTTTATTTCCAAGCAGATTGGAGCCCAAATCCCAGTATCTCTCTCATGGCTCCTTTGGCTGTTGCAGAGTGGATGCAGCCTCTCCCCTGCACAGTAATTACTGCCAAGGAAGGGGATGAAAGGGGGAAAGTACTTTAGTGCTGCTCCTGCTCCGCTGCAGGGCTCAGCTGACCCACGACACCCAAAGATGATGTGCCTTGTACAGATTTAACTCACTTCCCTTCCTGATGCTACTCCAGTACTCAGGTTTTGGGAAGTCCTGGCATGGCCCCTTTTCCCACAGTCCCGCAGTTAAGAGATGTTCCAATTGAACAATCCCATTTCTCCACCCTTTTCTTTTTTTGCTTTGCCAGAGTGGGTAATGAAAAACGGTGCCTTTTTGATGTACAGAAAGTGCTGGTTATTCTGTGCTGGAGTCTTGAGTCTCCCTTTGATGTAATCCTGAACTTCAGGGTTTCCATAAGTGACATTTTCAATCCCATCATAACTACAGAAATGCTGAAAGAAAATGGCATGTATGATTCCCCAAACTGGAGATTTGTGAAAAAGGAAAGATTTCAAATTAACTTTTGCCCCTTGCTGCCTTTGCTAGTTGAATTGTGACTCATTTTGTTTGAGAAAGGGTTTTTCCAACAGAACAGGCCAAAACACTGTTAAGTGTCAACAGCAAATCACTTCTCATTGCACTCACTTTCTGAAGATCTTCGTGTAGGTGTACAGCCCTCCCATCTCACAAATGCTGGCTGCTTTGAGACAGCTGCATAATGAAAAGCAAGTAACTTTATTCCTTTCTCTTTACTTGTTTGCATTTCAGTAGCAGAAAACAAAAAAAAAAAAGAAAAGATGCTCCAACCAGGCTTCACGTTCTGTTTTGGGGCAGTTTTCACCCAATTCTGCTATCTCCTGCCCGTCCCCACAGCTTCACTCTCCACACTGCAAGAAAAAACCCACCTTCCTGGTGCCCCTTGCCAAGGCATCCCTGTGGTGGCAGAAGACTTAGGTCATCCCCAAGCTTTAATGCTCTGGGCCAGCACGTGGCCTCCACACCTGAAGCACAGCAGTGCCTCAAAGAGGGGCTGTGCCACTCTCCCCCTCCATGTCAGGAATTAAGTCCAGCTTCACTCTTGCCAGGGTGGGAAGAAAAGCTTTAGGGAATGAGGTGAGGAAGCAGCAAGTTGGAGGAGGCACATGGAGATACCTCCCCACCTCTGCTAACCTGGTGTTTCAGGCCAGCTGCAGCTATCCCTGCCATGGGTGCTGGTGTGGGAAGGAGTGGAGGCAGGAAGAGGGAAAGGGAAATGCCAGCAAGGAGCACAGTTCAGCTGGTCTGCAGGGTATTACCCTGTCCAAGACAGGAAGAGCAGGAGAATTCCCAACTCGGCAATAGTCACTGTCAAACTGAGGTAGAAGGAGGAAAGGGCTGCAATTATACTCTTCCATGGCCAAAAACCAAGAACCAAGTGCTTTCTAAGTCATCTGTTTTGTAAGTTATTAGTCACCAGCACTTCCTAGCCACATAAACTCATCCCATTTGATTTTACACCTCCTGACAGGTCCCCGGGCCACTTGGACGCGAGCTTCCCATCAGTCTCACGAGAGGAGAGGCGATTCAGGTCAGTGGGTGGGAGAGGGAAAATTATTATTCTGAGGGGAGATTTCCACCCTCAGAAATGATGTTTCCACCCAATGAGCTCACCCAGAGAGCTTTCAGAGCTCCACTTCATCAGATATCCTTGGTTTGGGGCTGAGCTGGCTGAATGCGGGTGAGGGACGAAGGTCCTCAGCATTCTGACCTCCATGGGGAAGGTGCAGGAGGTCTGAGGGAGGAAAGCAGCAGCAGCTCAGCCCCCCAGTCTGTCTCTCATTCTGAACCTGGTTCACTTCTCTGCCAGAAAGCACCACCGCAGCAGGACTTAGGAAGATGTGGATGCTTTGCTTCACTGCAATTCCCTGGCCTTGAGAGCTGGATGCACAACTCAGATGATTCTTTGGCTCACTGTCCTGTGAAATGGGGTTTTTTTATAGGAAAGCACATAAAATGCAGCTAAGGCAGCTCTGACAAGCTAAACCAAAGGATTTGTCTCTGTTAATGACACATGCATATGGCTTTTGAATGCATCCTGAAGAATTTGCAGCCATAAACATTTATGCAAGAAGGAAACTGTGGTAGCAGAAACCTACCTAATTTATAAAATAGTGACTGGTACACTACATGCTGAGAGGATGCTCACCTATGTGACCCTGGGGCTACCATTAATTGAAAAAGAATCCTGACCCTGCCCATGCAGGAAAATCAGCATTTTCTGCTGTCTTCAGTCGCTGCGTTGAGGAACTGCACCGGGAGACAAGCAGCATTTCAAAGGGGCCTGGCTACCAGAAAACAGTGCTCAAAATGAACACGAGTTTTCAGAGTGCTGCAATCATCTCCAGCCCAAATTCAGATCAACCCAAGGAAGAGAAACAGTGATCCATTGGCACAGACAAACTCCGGCTGGCACGTCGTCCTCCAGCAGAGCTAAGGCAGAGAACATCACCACAAACCCACAAGAAGCGCCACGCCCATTCAATAACCTATAATTTTTAAATATAACATTTTATTGCTTAGATGGTTTGATACAGAACAAGTTTTACTTTTTATTTTGAATTTGGAAGTACTGTACAACTGAAAAAAAGAGGAATAAAAGTACCAAAACTATGTGTGATTCTCTGTTCATGTGGCATAAACCAGTCTTGTACACAATTCGTAGCAGCAGTTTAAGTTCCCTTTAGAAAAATATGAATTCTACACATTTATTACTGTTTCCTGCATGGGATGAAATCACTAGGATTAAACTTCCTTCGTGGAGAGAGAAGAGAGAGAAAGGAGACACACAGAGAGGAAAGAGAGGATGAATCATTCTGAAAATGGAATCAGACTGTCACATAGCCCACTAAAGTTATTTCACAACAGCCTCAAACAAGGTTCTCTCTTTTTTTTTCTTTTTCCTTTATTTTTTTTGCGCTTTCACAGTCAAGTGCTTAATGTAGTGATTGAATTATCTCCATGTTAAGTCCATTGCAACTCAGGCAAAAGAATTTTAGAAGATTTTTTTTTTGTTTTCTTTTTGTTTTGTTTTTGTTTTTTTTGTTTTTTGTAAAAGCCCTGAGAGAGGAAAAAAATAAAAAGATTCAAACGAAAATCGTATAGAGACAAATTAGCTGAACATGCAAACTAAAGCCTAAGATTCACCCATAGTTTAAACACATTATAAATTTCACAGTTTAATATTGGGGGAGGAAGGGAAACAAAAAAAACCCCAACAACAGCAACAGTTCTCAGTCAAACTCAACTAGTAAAAATGTCAATAAAATGTGGCAAGACCTTATACTCTACTAGGATATAGATAAAGGCTAAATAAAGCTTTAAATCAATAGTGATTATTGCTAGCAGATGTCCCGGCAGGCTGCTGGGAATTAATTACTTGCTACATTGTTCTGCAGCATATAGTTTAGTAATGGCTTCTCCCCCACAGTATTGCGCAGTTTAGTGTGGAGAGCTGCAAAAAAAAAAAAAAAACCCAAAACAAAACAACAAAACAACAACCCCAAAATAAACAAACAAAAAAATTACAAAAACAAAAAATTACCCAAAATAATAATAATAATTATTATTATAATTATAATAGCAATAACAATTTAAGGGATGCGTGAACTGGTTTTAATTAAGTAGAATGCACCTGGGTAGAGTTTCAAATGAATCATTGGTTGTGATTGATTTATCTATATCTGGCGTTAGCTTCGTTTCTGAACTGGTTCAAACATCCCTATTTAAAAGTAAAAAAAAAAAAAAACAAAACACAAAAAAAAATAGAAATCACATATACCTCAACCATTTTTTTCTTATTCTATTTGCAAGAATATTACTCAAGAACATTTCTCTTCCTTTGAATTCTGGACAGTGAGATTTCAGTCTCCAGAAATTTTTCAGAGAATTTTTAATATATAGATATATATAGATATATATATATATATTATATAATATAGACTGGGTCCGAGGCCCACTTCCTCCATGTCTGGTGAGAGCAGGAAAAGCAGTTCTGTGGTGGGAAGGAGGGAGGGTCACAGTGCGGGCTGGGCTGGGGGCTGCAGTGGTGGAATAGCACAGTGAGGCTCCGGCAATGCTATTATGGCTCTGTCTGTCCCAGAGGTCATGACTGAAGGACATTTAACAAACAACAATAACGACAACAACGACAAGAACAACACAAATGCTGGGCACTCCTAAAAATGCGCAGCTACAGTAGGATACATTTCGTTTAACCCCTTCAATATTGGAGGCTGGAGTGTCTGTCACCTGTTGCCGGCAACAGGAGCCATATGGAGAAATTCCAGCTGCCAGCATTAAAGGGGTTAAATTACTGATATGAAATTTAGACACACACCTCAAGTCTTCAAGCATCAACCCCAAAATCTCAGGAAGAATTTATTTTTTTTTTTCTTTTAAATTAATTTTATTTATTTTTAACATGTCGTATATCTGTAGTTTAATCACCAGTAGTATTTTCTTGCTCTTAGAACACGACAGAAGCAAGACGAGGGTAAGGCTCGCATTTCTCTCTTGCTTTCCACTGGAAGACGGGATAACTTTGCTCTGTGAGTGAGTGACCGTCGCCGAGGGGAGGGCAGCGAGGTCACTGCGGCACTGGGGGCGCCCCTCTCCCGCAGCCGGGGCTCCGCTGCCGCCCGTGCCCACCGCCAGGGAGGAGGGAGGGAGGGAAGGAGGGAAGGAGGGAGATGCGCCCGCACGGGCACGGTACCTCGCTGGCCTCCACGGGACGCTCCGGTCGGAGGAAGGGGTTCATGTAAAGTACAGTAGAAGAGCTGCAACAACAACAGGAGGAGGAGGAGGAGCTGGTGAAAGCTGATGAGTCAAGAACACTCCGAGACGGGATCCAAGCTGCGCTACGCATCTCCGTGGGCAAATATTGCCCATTGGCTTCTGCTGACTGCAGAGACAAGCGAACTGATGGATTTATAAAATAATAATAAAATAATAATAATAATAATAATATACTGAAGCAAATCAAACATATGTAACAGCGGGTGCATAATTTCCATAGGTTACGTTGCTATGTAACTCTTCTCTGTATACACGCTCAGTCCGTGATGGCCAGAAAAAACCCCTAGGATTTAGAAGACCACTTCTAATGCTGAAAAGTGGAAACAAGCATGAGGTTGAAATTAATTTGTGTTTCCTGCTTTTGGCTTGAACCACTTTGAACACCTTCAACTGCCACGTTGTTCGTGCCTGGAACAGGCTTAATGCTCCACCATGTGGCAAATGCAAGAACATCTACTGAGAAAAAAAACAATAAATCAACGTCTCCTCTGCATCTCCTCGGACTATTTCATATGAAATTCACATCATTTTTCTTCCAGTTATTGGCTATGGTATCCAAGGGCCTCCCACCCCACTGCCCCATTTCCAGCTCAGAGAACAAACACAGCGACTATCACAGATATACAAGAACAAGCTCACGCACACCAATACAAAAGGTAACATTAATGCTTAAATGAAAAAGGGTCCTCTCCAAATAATTCTTTAAAATATTAAAATCATTTTTGAAAAAAATCTATAATACCAAAAGATCTAATAAAGTAGTAAGGCACTCAAATCAGTATATACTGTAGTCTCTTGCATTATTATACTGAAAGGCATATGGCACCACGTCCAGTCTGCCATACTCTTCCCCGTAGCTGTAAGGTCGCTCTTCCAAAAACAGCCTCCAGAAACCTTGCTCTGCTGGCTTCAGTTTGCCTGCTGAGATGGGTCCAACCTCCAAGCAAGTCATTCCACCCCCAAGAGCTGAGGCGCGCTGTCGGCAGAGGCCAGGATGTGATTCATGGGAGATGGAGCGTTGTGCATCTCCAGCAAGTCCTGGATGAAACCCGAGGGCCCCTCGTGCTCGGAGCTGCCCCGCGGTTCCTGGTCCTTTGCCGCGTGTTTCTTGGCGGGCTCGGCGAGGCAGGCGCCGCTGCTCTCCTCTCCGCAGGGCGAGTCCGTGACCGTGCTGGCCGGGGGCTCGCTCCGGCTCCCTGCCAGGGACGAGTGGCTGCCGATGGCCCCCGCGGAGTCGCACTCGCTCTCGGAGATGGGGTTGGCGCCGCTGTGGCTGGACTCGTTCTCGCTGTCTTCTCCGCACCGCGACTGCGTCTCCTCCTTGTCGCTCTCCTTCCCGTGGTTTCGGGCATTTCTCACTTTCTGGTGGATGCGCTGGTGACGGACCAGGCTGTGCTTCAGAGTGAAGGTCCGTTCGCAGGTTTGACACTTGTAAGGTCGCTCACCTGGAAGAGAATGACAACACAAAGTCAGCTGTGGGGTCACACATGCGCCTCCCTCTTGTTTCAAGCAGCATGAAACACTTTGCACTTTGGGAATTCACAAATCGAACATCATGTTTATACAGATTATTTGCTTCTGTACTAGCAAACTAGCTGATGGAGTGCAAGCAGGAATACAGGTAGATGCCCGTGACACAAATGGAGCATTGAACTAAATGTCTATGAGCTTGGCGAGGCCCTGCACTGAGGAGGGAGGAAGGCCGTAAGCACCAGGTGCTCACCAGCATCCTGCCTAATTTAGTCAGCAACTTTTCTGGAGAAAGTTTACGGTCGATCTCTGGAACTCAAAAGCCTTCATGAAATCAGCCCACCATGTGGGCTCCCTGATGCAGGTCAGCCCCAGACACATGTGGAGAGACAGAATACTTTCCTCAGCAAGAACTCATTGGAAAACAAAGCAACCACAGCCCCACAGACAGAATTCTCCCAAAATACAAACCACGCACACTGCCCCAAGGTGCTCTCTGCCTTGAAGAAACAAAGGTCCCACCCCAGCCTGTCCTCCCTTTCCAAGTGTGCCTCTTAAAGACTTTTCAGCGCTTCAGTTCCATCAAGACACCATCTTGTGCCAATGAGCATCAGACTGAGACATGCGGTAAGCAGGCAGAGGTTTCCTGCACACTTCAGTCTGTCCCAAATGTTTCTTTTCTGAGTAAACAAATCCCAAAACTCTACAGGTATCTTTAATAAACCTCATTAATAATAAATAATAAACAATAAAACACATTAAAACTGAAATATAAGGAATGTGCAACCTGACAGTATTTTGGCAATATAGTTGAACAAGTGGGAAGGAGACAAGGAGAAGAGTCAACCCACAGCATTGGTGCAAAATCCTCAGCTGAAAATACGTTGATCTGATAGTGGGGGTAGGTCATAGTTACATTTATGAATTTGAAGAAAGCACTGTGCCAGGTTCCTGTTCCACACCTATTCTATGTTAAAACATCCTTCAAGTATCAAATAAGAAAGAGAAACAAACAGGAAAAAAACATACTGACAAAGCCCACAATAACCCAGTAGCCAATGAAAACAATTAAAACAGAGAGTATGGAAATGTCCATGGGCACACATGGTTTGGGGGAAAAGCTCAGTACTTTGGATATCAGCATTTCCCTGAAGCTTCTGCACTTGTATGAAAATAGGCTCTAAAAAGGGACCTGTCGTGTTTCACTTGTGGCTCAGTGACAGAAGAAAACAGGTCAGTTTTGCACTCAATAGGTGAATATTTATGTTTTAGAAGGGTTGAAGCTATTCAGGCATTAGTCTTTGGAGTAGTTTTCTAAAAACCACTGTCAATTACAACACAAATATTTTGTCAATGGCAAAGATCTTGTCTTCAGCAGAGAGAACCTTCAAAAGACACAAAATGTCAAAATGGACCAGTTTTCCCACGTCAGAGCAGCTTGCTGGCAGGTGAAATACATAATAAGGATGAATGATTAATTCACCTTTGAGCTGGTTCATGCCTTCATCTCATTTGCAAGGCACTGCTGCAATCTGCCTATCACACAAAGCAATCCCACTGCCCAGTCATGTCACTGGGCAAGTGTTTCACTACCTGTGTTCCACCTTCCCTACCCAAGTGACCACTGGATCTCTGCCTTCCACCCAAGCAGCAGGTCACACACATCACCAGCATGGTAGCCATATTAGGCTCAGACCATCAGACAAAACCAGACTCTTTCTCTCTCTAAACTTTGACTCAGAGGTGAAGTCTCATGATACAGTTTCTCCACTGCTTCTCAAAATATTGGGAAGAAGTAAAGCCCCACACACATGGCAAGAAGGGAGTCAGAAGCTGCCCAGGGATCTCCACACTTGCCCTCACCTTTGAACTCTGCAAGCAATCATGGGGAAAATAGTCTGGGAGCTGAAAATAAGGCAGTGGCTGCAATTCTTGCTCCCTCTCTAAGCCTTTCATGCAGCATGGGGGACTGGGGCAGAGAAGACACCTTGCAGATACCTTTAGGACTAAAAGCAGTGTCTCCAACCTCAAGTGCCAGCAGCAACTGTGCACCTCCAGAGCAGACACCTCAGTCTGGTGGGACACCTCATGGTCTGTTCTGCCCTCAAGCCTCCTCTTACCTGTATGAGACCGCATATGTCGCGTCAGATCTTGCAGAGACCAGAAACGCTTGTTGCACACAGTACAGACTTTCTTTCTTTTGTCTGCTTTTGCAGTACTCTTAGCCCCATCAGTCTTTGGTTTGTCATCACTGCTCTTCTCAGTGGACTTTCTCTCTGTGCCTTCCCCCTCAGAGATGCTTTCGCTCTCTTCATTCTCCTTTCCTGTTGCCTCAAAGTCCACAGGAGACTCCACTACCTTCAAGTCCAACGGAGACTCTTCCTGCTCAAGACCAGAGTCATGCATCGAGGGAGCTCCTGCATCATCCTGAATGCTTTTGCTTTCATCCTCACTGCTCCTTTCATCCTTTCTGTCCTCACGAATGTGGGCCTTTTTGTGACGGCTAAGAGTGCCAGCAAACTTGAAGGTTTTGCCACAAATCTCACAGGCATGTTTCCTTTCAGTCTGAGAACTGCTGCCTGCACTCTGGTCACTCTCTGCCAGCTTGAAGTCCATTAATTTGCTGGCAAAATTGAGGTCAAGACTTTTGTTACTTACAGAATCTTCCTCAGGGCCCTCTTCATATCCATCCACTTTTTCTTCAGCATCCTCTTCTGCCAGAAGGGAATCGGCCTTCTGCTCCTCCTTGGGGCTGCGCTCACTCTCTGGCAGCTCTGTCATTTCCTCTGACTGCTCCTTCTCCCCATAGCTCAGGTTCAAGGCTTTGTTTCCTGTAGCTAGTGCCTCTGCATCCGCCTGGCTCTCTGCAAGGAAACACAGAGAAACTTTCAGTGGGATTCCCAAGTGCCAGCAGTGAGCCTGCACATGGACCCAGGAGCACTGCTTCTGATCAAGCATCCCAATATCTGTTTCTCTTGTCTGTGACCTAGGCCAGCAACTTACAGCTGAAAAGAGATTAAAATACCACAGAACCCAATCAACAAGATGATACAAACTCTTTCACAAAATGCTTTCTTTTCCAAAACAGACTCACAAACTCAGCAGCTTCCTGCAATAGTTTTTAATATAATCACTTTTAACCAGAGAACACATTATGCTGACACACTGAAGAAGGGCTGAGGTCATTATCAGAAACAGACCATTCCAGAGACACATGGATGTATTACTAATAAACTTGTGTATGAAAAACATGAACACAGATTGAAATAATATGCAACCCGCATATTTATCAAACTAATTTTTGTGTAGCAAGAAATGTTTTTCCAAGGAAATGCAAAGGCCTCATGCAACCACCTGGTACAACTAAATGTGAATACTTAGTGCAGACAGTAGCACAAAAGTTGGCTTAAAACACTGGGTATGCAGCATGAAAGTGGAAGATGTGTAAGTTTGTCCACACCTGAGTCTCTGATATGTCATTTGGAATCAAAGCATAAAGCCAAGGGAGAGTAACAGGCTTTGCTGTTTCACAGTTACCTCACAAGAAGACAAAAATTACCTAAGATGTGGTCCTTAATGGTGTCCTCTGTTTATTTACCTGTCTGCAGCATCAATATTGCTGAAGATGTAACATATGTCCAAAAAACTGAAACAGGTAAGGTGCTTAAGGAGAACAGAGGGGTGGAGCTGTACTCCTTCCAAGCTCCACAGAAACAGTGCATTAGCAAATAGGAAATAAGCTGGTCAGGCTCTGGAGGCCAAAGCTGCAGCTGATGTAACTGCATCCCCAGTGCCACTTCCCAGGAATTGTTCCAGGACACGAAGTTCGCAAGTGGTGCTCTCTGAAAGCTGAAACTTTCCTTTCAGTCCTGCACCCCACCTCTTGCTTATTGACAGCAAGCAGCAAAGGGAGCCCACAACCCAGCCGGCATTTCAACATTCATCTGCAAGAACTATAGCTGCTGAGTAACTCCAGAGATTTAGAAACTCTAGGAGAGCAGTGCAAGTTCTCTGTTTGGCACAGCACAACATGTCTCCAAACTGCCCAGATTTTCTATTACAGGCTTTTTCCCTAAGCAAGGAGTAAAAACAGAAGATAAGAAGATGGTTCTCAGGCACTTATTAGTTTGAATGTAGTCTTGCAACATGATTTGCACTGGGCCCATCTCCTCTCAACAGTGATAACAAATGGCCACTAAACAAATGTCAAAGTGAAGCAGTGTTTCTGGGGATAGCAAATGATCACTTAATAGTGTGCAATTCTTGGTACACTTTTTCTTGGGGGAGTTTAAGGGGGAGAAATGACCTATCACAAAAAGTAATCTCACCTTTTAATCAGAACAGATCTGTTTACAGAGACGGTGGATTACACAAAGTTCATTGCTCATCTAATTATCTGCCCGTTAGAACACGCAAGCAAGCCCTAATCTGTGTGTGAGGCCACAGAATGTGAGGATGAGGACGTCTGAAAGCAGACATGGGCTGCCCTGTCTCATCCCGTGAGGTCAGGAAATGCTCCCCTGATGGGATGGATGTGTGTTGGGCTGAAGAAAGGCTGCCAGCACAGCACAGCACAGAGGGGGTTCATTAGGGAGAGGGGCAGGAAACCACGTGAGCTCTGTTAGTATGGAGATGAGAGAAGAGCACAAGGAAACCAAGATGGGAAAAAGCTCCTCTTAATCACACCCAGAGAGATGTTCTGTAACTCTTTATCAACCAAACAGAAAACAGTGCATGCAGAGGGAGATTTTCTTCCTGTTTTTCAACATGAAACATAAGAAGCAAGGTGAGTGAGGAGAATATGCATGGGTAGCACTCAAGGTAAGAGCAAGCCAAAACCATTATGTCTCTCAATACAGAAGTCCCAACTTCAACATTCAATGACATATATCATTCATGATTTTCCAATTGTTCCACAACTTTTTCTTCTTTTGCTTCTAGTATTTGGAAAAATATATTATTTTTCTCACTCATTCTTCAGTATATTCTCAGTATACTCATTCTTCAGTGAATTGTACTTGAATTCTATCTCCTTCTTTCCTCTCCTCTGTGCCCTGGGCCTCTTCCAAGCTGTTATTCTGTTCTTGCATGTGTGGCCTACAACTACATTTCCTGGTGCACAAGAGAAAAACATTCAAGGGATAGGTGGTCCACAGGTAAGTGATGTACTGGCACAGGCAAACAGATGAGGTCAACATCAAGAAAAACAAACCCCTAAGTTTAAACAATGTGCCTTCACAAAGGGCAAAGCCACTCCAGATCCTAGGAACACAAATGTCTGGAGGCTTTATCTTCTGAAGCTCCTCTGGGCTCGGCAGCCCTGAAGGAACATTCAAAGCTCAGGCGGTGACATAGCCAGGGATATGCTGACACATGTACGTGCTTGGCGGAGCGCTCTTCCTCCTCCCCTGCACAAACCACACCTGCCCTTTTCCTTGTCAAGAAGGAGTTTCACAGGCCCCTTAGGAAACTTCATGCATGGACCTCAGGTAAAGCAGCAGTTCCTGACTAGCTGAGCTGCTCTGTGGTTGTCTCCAACCTGTGCAGTTGGTTCTGCAGCCGGTGAAAAAGTGAGCTGCTTTGCACAAATCCTGGTTATTGGGGATGGGTGAGAATCAGCCCAGTTCTGCTTCCGATGAACTGGAATAGCAGCAGAGAAGCTGTGAAGGTGTGTGGCAAACACAATGGTTGTGAAGACAATTGGCCAGGTCCAGTGTGAGACTTCTCTTGCAGTGCAAGAAATGGCTGCAAGGGTAGTCTTGCACTGGCAGCTGCTTCATCCACTCCAGCAGAGGTTAGGCCTGGTCTGCACTACTGTTTTCTGCCTTCTTACATGCCCTCTGTAGCAACAGAAACCCTGCTGGCCACACAGCTCCAGCAGGCTTCTATCTTACACAAGGAGGAGGATTTTGACTGAGCCTTCAAATCCGGACAAACATCCCTCCAACAAGACAGAGCTCCTCTCACATGGATAATTCCCATTTCCAGAATTTGGCTGATTTATGTTCCAGAGCAGTCATTCGATTCCAGGCAGTGAAAGAAACAGGATGCACAGGAAAGACCTGCTGTTTCTTTCGCCCCTTTCCCATTTTTCACTTACTGAGGCTGTAAAATGCCTTCCAGTCCACTTGTTATCCCACAGAATTTACACTTGGTGAATCAAGAGGACAAGAGCAGAGAAATCCACTTCTCAAGGCTCCCACCCACTGCCACTTCTTCAGCAACCATGGGAGCAGCGCACATTAACTTGTCGTGTGCAGCCAGTTTGTCACTCCCCCAAAATGAAGAGAAGAAGGTGACACTATCTGAAGATCTCAATTCTGACACCTGAGTCAAAAAAGATGTGCAGGATACGGGAGAAAGAGGAGAAGAGCAGGGAAGTAAGGACATACGGAAGAAGGTGACAAAAAACCACTGGTAACTCAGCTGCTGCCTCATCAGCTCCTGGGAAAAAAAAAACTCATGAGATGTATTCATAAGCTAAACCTCAAGGACTCCATCTGAGAATCCAAAAACTTTTCCGCTTGCATGAAAGAAACCACTATATAGATGTAGCCAAAATCATTTTTCCTTCAAACTGTGGAAAGACAAGACTGTTTTGCTGAAGTCTATTTACAAATCAAGTAGCAGTCTTTTGTCGGCCCAGTCAGAAGAATCCACTTCATCTTTTATTGGTGGCAAGAAAGAGGAGGGAATTGCTTCCCTACATATGCAAACCAAATTATGAAGAGGGACACCAAATGTGAACAATTTCAGATTAAAGAGGAGATACAGATCAAGGTGGGGAGCTTGCTGGCATGACTCTTTTTATACATGGTTTTATTTTTTCCTGGAACTATGGTGGAATAGAGACTAGAGCTTGAGACGCTACAAAGTTAGTAGACAAAACAGGAGGTAATGAAAAACATTTTGGTGCTAAAGCAAGTGTTTATTGACAAATATTCCTAACATCCCAAGAGAAGAGTTAGAAAACCCATCACATAAATAATCCTCAAAATTGGAGCAAACACACCACTGGAAATGGATATGGTACAAGCAGTTGGCATTATCAGTCAGATGAGCTGATGATTTACTATCTTCCCTACATTAACTGAAATAACCCCAGCTTGTTTTGTATTTTACAATAGAGGCAGCCACCACTAGGTGGTAGCAGTTCTAGTAAATTTGGGATTTTTTGGACTCACACACACACAATGCTGCTTCCACTTCCACTCATGAACTGGAGAACATCTTTTAAACCCAGAGAATCCACTTGAAAAATTTTGGGTGTTATCTTCATCCATTTTTATTGTACACATTCTAAATAATAAAATTCAGCCACCTTCATTACATCACCTGCAAACACTCAAGTTAACTATTTAATCATCCCTCACACGGTTGAAAGAGCTTCAACTGTGTCTTCATGCCTTGTGAAATGAAAATATTCAAGCTAGAAAAGGACTATTTACAGTAAATGGAACTGAATATGTCTGGGGAAAAAGAAAAACAATTCTGGGAAAAAAACCACTTTCTGTCTTTAACACACACTATGATTCCCCAGTATCTTCAACAGAGCAGCTGAAGTCGTGATGAAAAGTTTTCAGGATTAGCTCTGACTGCACCTACCATGGGGAAATCCGCATTTAAGGTAGCAGGGGCAAAGCCCACACTATGAGCTTATGATGGATTGCACCATTCAGCAGAAAGGCAGTCTGATGTAGAGCTGCCAATGCAGCCAGCAGGCCATACACCATTTCCTCAGTACCTTCATGCAACAGCTCTAGCACTCAGGCCAACCCCAGCAGCAAATGACTCCTGCTTTACCCTGAGCTCTGGCTCTAGAGCAGCTGTTAAACTTTGCCTGACACTGAAAACACGATTTCAA